AACTGAGATCGCCGGAGCCGCCGTGGGGGAGGAGTGGGGATGGGAGGAGGGGGAGGAGCTAGCCATAGTTCCGTCGGCAAGGAGCGAGGTAGCAATTGGGGGAGGGTCGAATGATAGGTGGAGTCTGTGTCGAGAGGAGGCAATACGGGTGGGAGACTTGCAAGTGATTAATGCATGCCCAGTCATCATTGGTCAACACAATAGCCGCCTGTTCAAACCTTTGCCGCATGAACTAACAAAAGAACTGAGGCAAATAATAAGGGAAACTGGCGTGTCTTCATCTAACACCCTGGCATTTCTAGACACACTAAGCTCTACCTACATTTTCATGCCACACGATTGGAAGACTATCTTAAAAATAAGTCTTACCAAGACACAGTACAACGTGTGGCTGATCGACTTTCGGGAGAATTGCTCTGTGTATGCCACTGACCCACAAGCAGGTGTTACCACACACCAACTAACCGGGGAGGGTAATTATCGGTTGATAGATGCTCAATCTAGGTACAATAAGGAAGTGTACGAGGTGATAGCTAAACACGCTATGAGAGCCATGAGGACACTTCCCACATCAGACCGAGACACTAATTTGTCATTCACAAGAATAATGCAAGGCCCGACAGAACCGTTCTCCCAATTCTTGGATCGGCTGCAGTCTGCCCTAGATAGGCAGATTGAAAATGAGGAAGCCAGAGACATACTTTGCAGGAAACTGGCTTTCGAAAACGCGAACCCAGACTGTAAGAGAGCATTGCAGGCTCTTCCTAAACGGGAGAGCTGCAGCATTGCAGAGCTGGTTCGTGCCTGCCAAGGGGTCGGCTCAGTGGGACACCAAACTGACTCGTTAGCAGTAGCATTGAGTGCCCAGCTAAGAGTGCAGGAGGGAGCCAGACCCAGGAGTGGTTGTTACGCTTGCGGTGCGCCCGACCACTTCCAAAGAGACTGTCCCAGGAGACCCATAGAAGCAGCCCCCCGTAGGCGCCCAAAAGCAAGGAGGGTGCCAAAAAACAGGAGACGAGGGACGTTGTCGCACACCCCGGTACAGCAAACATATGCGACACAAGGGAACAGGCCGGCAATCTGTGCCCCCCCACCCCTGCCAGCGCTTTGTGCCCCTCCACCGCAGCCAGCGCTGGGTTGGATCTATCCAACCGGGACTCTGTCTTCATAACATCCACAGAGGTAGTGCTAATTCCAACTGGGTTTTGGGGTCCCCTCAACTCAGGGGTGCATGCACTATTAATTGGAAGGTCCTCCACTACACGAATGGGTTTGTTTGTGCTGCCGGGAGTGATAGACTCAGACTCTCATAGCGAGATTCAGATCATGGCCTGGACCCCTTCACCCCCCTGTTTCATCCCAAAGGGACAGAAAATCGCCCAACTAATCCCCTTCTACAGCGCGTCGCCTGCAGGGGAGGGGGAGCGGGGTTCAGGGGCTTTCGGTAGCACAGGAACACCACAAGTTTACTGGGCAACAGCCATCACAGCCACACAGCCGCTCATGACGTGCCAGGTGAATGGGCATCGATTTACAGGCCTTGTGGATTCGGGAGCCGATGTTTCCATCATAAAGGACTCCGAGTGGCCACTTAACTGGCCCACTGTTTGCCCAGCTGCAACCATTCAGGGGGTGGGAGGAACACAAAGGCCCAGACAGAGTGCCCAAGTACTCACTGTCCTGGGCCCAGAAGGACAATCAGCCAAGATAGCTCCTTTTGTTGCCCCCATTCCTTGCACACTGTGGGGAAGGGATGTTCTTGGGCAGTTTGGCACAGTGAGGCAATTTCCTCCTGCAAGCAGCCAGGTTTTTCAATAGGGGCCATTGGTCAGCCGTCCCAAACACCCATTGAGCTGGTCTGGAAAAGTGAGCAGCCAGTCTGGGTGGACCAATGGCCTACGAAAAGAGAACGGCTGGAACAATTAACAAAGCTTGCACAGGAGCAACTAGAAGCAGGACACATTGTGCCCACAACTAGCCCCTGGAACACTCCTGTCTTTTGCATTCCCAAGAAAAGTGGGAAATGGAGAATGCTGCAGGACTTAAGGGCAGTAAATGCAGTTATAGAACCCATGGGAACATTGCAGCCAGGACTGTCTTCACCCTCTATGCTCCCAGCAAACTGGCCGCTAATAGTAATTGATTTAAAGGACTGCTTTTTTACCGTCTTCCTTCACCCTGAGGATGCGCCAAGGTTTGCTTTTTCCATCCCGGCCTTGAACAATGCACAACCTATGCAAAGGTACCATTGGGTTGTTCTCCCTCAGGGCATGAGAAACAGTCCTACGATATGTCAGACAGTAGTGGCAAACGCTATTCATCCCATCAGAAAGCGTTTCCCCTCTGCCATCATCTATCACTACATAGATGATATCTTAATTACCACGGCCACAGAAAATGAACTAGAAACTGTTGTTACTGCTCTAAAACATGCTGTCCAAGAAGCAGGGTTACAGGTCGCTCCAGAAAAGATCCAGCGATCGCAGCCCTGGACATACCTTGGATGGAAGATCACGCAGCAGGAAATCTCCCCACAGCCACTACAGCTCAAGGTAAAAACCACTTTAACTTTACACGAGTTGCAAAAACTCTTGGGGGCTATCAACTGGTTAAGGCCTGTTTTAGGCTTAACCACATAGGAGCTACACCCTTTGTTTGAGCTGCTAAAAGGGAACTCCAGTCTAACGTCTAACAGAGCTCTGACTGCAGAGGCCAAACAGGCATTAGACATTTGTGCCAGGGCAATAGAGGGCAGGCAAGGCAGAAGGAGAAATCCTGAACTGCAAATCTGCCTAGCCCTCGTTCCCAGCAGGTACCAGCCATTTGCAGTTTTGTTCCAGTGGGATCAGACTGAAAAAGACCCACTGCGAATTCTAAAGTGGCTGTTTCTGCCCCATACACCACCTAAAACTGTGTGGACTGCTAATGAGATGTTTGCAAAGCTTGTCATTAAAGGCAGAGAAAGGCTGCAGGAACTGGACGGAAGGGACCCTGCTACCATCTACATTCCAGCTACGAAGGACAATTTGGATTGGATGCTAGCTGAGGACATGGGATTCCAAGCTGCCTTGTTAGGCTTTGACGGTGATATTTCAATTCATCTCCCTAAACACAGATTGTGGGCAGAAATAGGTAATTTACCTTTAAAAGCCACAACCAGATGCAAACATGAACCAGTAGAAGGCCTCACGGTCTTCACAGATGCATCTGGGAGAACACGAAATGCTGCAGTGACTTGGGTAAACCCCGATACAGGACAATGGGAACAGGAGGTGCAGACCAGGAACCAAGGTTCTGTACAGGTTCTGGAACTGGCTGCCATCCGTATTGCCCTGGAGAAATTTTCTGAGCAACCTGTTAACATTGTTACTGATTCTTGTTATGCTGCAGGTTTAGTTTCGCGCCTTGAGAGTTCGTTTCTTCGACATGTTTCTAACCCACATTTGTTGTTTGAAATGCGTTCTATTTGGTTTCTTGTTAATCACAGGAGGTTTGATTTCTACATTATGCACATAAGGTCACACACCGACATGCCAGGACCCATAGCTGACGGGAACAGGGAAGCTGACAGAGCAGCAATGTTTAACACCGTACCCAGAGTCTTGGAGCAAGCAAAATTGTCTCACTCATTTTTCCATCAAAATGCTCACTGTCTAAAGAGACAATTTCAAATAACAATCAACCAAGCTCGAGACATCATCCTGTCATGCCTAGACTGTCAAAAAATCACACCCATGCCGTCTCAGGAAGGCGTTAACCCTAGAGGGTTAAAGGCTAATGAGATCTGGCAAACAGACATCACACACATCCCCGAATTTGGCAAACTGAAATATGTACATGTAACAGTAGATACACATTTGCAGTATATAACAGCCACAGCACACACAGGGGAAAAGGCCAAGGATGTGATAAAACACTGGCTCAGTTGTTTTGCCACCCTTGGCACCCCAAAACAAATAAAAACTGACAACGGACCAGCATACATCTCAGAAAAGGTAAGAGATTTCCTGTCAGACTGGGGAATCTCACATGTCACAGGCATCCCACACTCACCAACCGGTCAGGCAATTGTTGAAAGGGCACACCACACACTGAAAGAAATGCTACAAAAACAAAAAAAAGGGGGGAACCTGGATAGCCCGCAAGAACGGCTGTGGAAAGCAACGTATGTTATCAATTTTTTAAATTGTGACAGCACGGAAAAGAGTAAGTATGAAAGGCAACACAGGCCTCAGGAGCCTGCCTCTCCCAAACCACGGGTCATGGTAAAGGATCTGATTTCTGGGCAGTGGATGGGACCACTAGATCTTGTGACGTGGGGGAGGGGCTATGCCTGTGTGGGTGCAGGGAAAGAGTTAAAATGGATTCCTTCCAGGTGTGTCAGGCCCTACCTAGGTACACATTCACATCAGCAAGAACCAGAGTAACGCAGAAGTTATGAAAGACTTATGTTTACACTTCAGGTTTACCCTTAGGAATGACCAATGTGGTAAAGCAGTCAATAAAAAATTCATGAGTGTGTGTATGATGAGTGTAAGATGGCCGTTGAGCGAATGATGTGTGAATGAATGTGTGCTGTATGACTGGACAAATATTAAAACACAAAACACCTCACAGATACACTACCTCAGCCACAGGGTCACTTTAAGATAAGTTAGTTTTGCTAAGCTTAGCCTGTTCTTAATAAAGTTGAACTCCCCAGTTATTTAAAACCCTCAAGTTAATAAAGGTTATGAGTTTGCACAGTTAGACCAAGGCCTTTAAGTTAATAAAGTTATTTCTCCAAGTTGCACTACCCCTTAGGAAAATAAGAAGGTTTTAAGAAAGGTTTACATTAGAAGCGTAAGAGGCCAAGGCAGGCAGTGTGCTGGGTCACTGCAAGCTTTGGTAGTTTACAAGTACTATTGTGTTTGTATGCACTGTTGTTTTGCACTGTTTTTGTGATCCTCTTAGATAATTAGAAGGGGGGTGATGTAGGGGCGTGTCTGAGGTACAGAGGGATGTACCGGGGCAGAGAGGCCCAAAGAGCATGCGCCGAGGTTCACAACCCCCATTGGGTAAAGGGATCACATGGTTATGGGATATAAAAGGGAGCGCGGAATTCAAATAAAGGCTCTCTGATTCCACCAGTTCCGGAGAGTGTGTAGTTATTCTTTATCATATAAAGGCAATGTCACACGTGACGCTACATATGCTTAGGGACATCAGCCACTGTTCCTCCTCCTCATCCTCACACCTGCACATCTGTGCACCCTCACACTCTCTCCCACCACTGATGGAGACTTTGAGAGCCCATCAAACCAGCACTGGTTTGATCAAACAAGCCCATCATCCCTCAGAGAGTTTGAAAGATGATAAAGTTTCACAGGGGTATTTAAGAGGTATCAGAGCTAGATAGAGGATTTTTGTCTCTTGTGCTGTGCTCTTCATACAGGAACTTGTACACAGTGGTTGGATGATGACATCTCTATTTGCTGTTTGGTCAGTATGCAATACCACATGAAAATAATAAGAAAATACCAGGGTTTTTCCAGAGGCAGGAGAAAAACTGACCCAATAAGATTTTTTTTTTCTTTAATCTTTTCTTCTGTTGTCTTTTCTATTCCAACTGGGAGACAACAGAAAAAAAAGTCAAGGTTTTTGATTCAGGGAAGAAGCACAATGGAAAAGCAGCCTTAAGCAGCACAATAACAAATTCCTCGTTGAATTAAATCTACAAATCCCTGAGCACTCAGAGCTGTACAACAGGATCCCCATCAGGATGGTGTCTCTTCAGCTCCCTGTGAGAGCCACTTCATGCCCTAAAGCATATGGAGATGTCGGGGGTTGACAGAGAACCTGTCAGCAGCCTGGCACTTATCGACGAAGCAGTCGATGTTGACCAGATCAAAGTGTACCCCTGAGATGGACTGAAAGAGAGGACTGAGGCCCTGATCCTGACAATATACTGATGCATCCTGAAGAAGCTGTCCCGTGGGAACAGAGAACATTGTCTCATGAGAACAGAGACCTGTTTTGAACGAGAGTGGTCGGGAAAAACATCAACATGAGAGAAAAATAAGAGCAGGTGCTCGGGACTGTTGTGGGAACCTCACAGGGCTGTGAGAAACAGCAAAGTTGTTGTGAGAAAGTAGAGTTTAGAAAATGCACCTATTAGCTGTAAGAATTCTGATGTGAGAGTTTGAACTGTCCTATCCGTGTGGATTATGTGTGTTCAAAAACTGTACTTATAGGGACTGCGAAGCAGCCCTGGTGTGCTGTCTTTTCCCAGAAATAAACTTTGCTGGAACCTTTTTTATGTCGCACGTCCGTTCCAACGCGACATGGAGAGAGCTTGCTTACTCACTGTTTTATTTGAATGGCAAAACATAGGCACTGTTGTTCTTTATAGTGACAGCTAAATAACTTTTATCTGTCTAAACTGCACATAGCAGCAGTTAGCTCCACAGGTTTTTCTTTGCTTATCAGTATTGAAAGCATCAGCTTTTCTAAGGCAGTATTTTCCCATTTTTGTAGTGACTGACACTATTATTTCAGTGCTTCTAAGCTGGACTTTAGTCCCTGTGCTATCACAAGTATTATCACAGCAGGCACTGCAGTGGCTTTCTGCCCCCTGGGCCACGGCTCAGCACTGACTCGTTACTCCCTGCTGGTCCTGTCCCTGGGTGCTGTCCAGCTGGCACAGAACTCCAGCTGGGACCTAGCATGCCAGAGGGAGCAGGACAGTAAAGGAGCTGCACTCTCCACCCAGATGGGGAATTTTGTGGTGACAGTCCCTCTCGACTTCCTCCACCATGCTGCTGCTGGCATCTCTCTGCCCCTGCCTAACAGGCTGCAGTGCCTGGAGCAGTGTGGGACCACGTTGCCTCACAGAGACTCCCTGAACACCATCCAGTTACAGGATTTGTGCTTAAAGGAAAGGAAGAAAGTGTTCACCATATCCAGCTTGTGGCTTGCAACAAATACTACTAATTAGCCCTCTCCTCTGAGGCTGCTGAGTGCTGACACTGCCTACCTGCATCTCCTAAGCCAGAGACAGGCAGAGACGTGGTTTAGCCTCAAATAGAGTTGCATGTGGACAGAACGACCCGAGCCCCATGCTCAGACTATTCCCCAGGGCCCACAGAGATGCACCTCAGCAAACCCCCTCAGGTCACGTGCTTCCACCCACAGGGTACACATCTGCACTCTCCCCCACACATCAGGGGCTCCAGGGCATTTCCCTCTGGACACACAACTGCTGCCCCTGCTTGCTCTGCTCCACTAGCAGAATTGCTTTGTGTCAACTAAAGTGCTCGTGCTGGCCAGCTGTGTCACACGTGCTTTTACTTACCCACAAGCAGAACGACTGCAAGGTGACTGGCAGGGTATTGCCAAAGCTGCAACTCCCACACAGCCCCAGGGGCCCCAAACTTTCTAGGCTGAGCCTGGGCAAGGAGGTGGCTGGTGCTGCACTGGCTATGCTCACACTCCCCATTGCAGCCTGGCAGCTGGGACTAGGGCAGTGCTCTGAGCACTCCCAGCATTTGGAGCAGTAAGGCAGCCTGTTTCAGGATGGCACTTCCCAGATTCTGGTTGACTTCTGTGTAATCACCAGACAAAGGCAAGTCAGGCACATTTAATGAATTTCCCTGGTAGCCACAGAGTAGACTTCTCTGTGTAATAAATTGATATATTTTCACTTAAACTGAAAATCCTTCATGGACATTTTAAAGACTTAGCATATCCAACATTTTTCAGACTTGCTTTTTTTACCTCCTCTCTGTAAGGTTTACTTAAGACTTCTCTTATAGTAAGTTGTGTTACAAGACTCATGACATTCGGAATTTAAAACTGCTTTGTAGGAATGCTTTTTTAAGGATTAATAATTCATCCAGAAGAGTAAACAATTCTTGTATGTGCTAACTTTGATAAGAAAGTACTGCAAATGAAACACACTTCAAATTAGTACAAGAGAGTTTCAAGTCATTCGTTTTAAAAACACACTCCACAAAACCCCAGGGCTGTCCATTGCAAGCTTGTGCTGAGGCTTACTAGGGTTTTGGTTGCTGCATTTCAAATAATTCAAAACTCTCTTTGCGTTTATTTGGGGGTTGTGCTAGTTGTTTTTTTTTTCCCAAGTGCCATATTTTCCTATTTATATTCACAGTACATAGCTCTTTCAGCTTCACTGTATATCTTCCACAGATTACAGCAAATAAAAGCCATAGCCGTGAAGGTTTAGGACTGAGGGAGCTTCCTGAAAAACTACCTGTCACAACAGAAATCCTCAACTGCAGCTTCAATGTGCTGCCTTCCCTCCAGAATTCAACCTTCTCTGAGTTGAAGTTTCTTCTCTCCTTGGACTTAAAAGGTATGGAAAGAGCATCTTCACTTCTGCTCATCACATTGGTGAGACCCCCTGCCTCTGCCAAAGACAAAGACCTCTGGAGCATACTACAGCAGCATCTCCCTGCCTTCACAGGGACAGCTTCAGACATCTTCAGATAGCTGGTGAATTTTTTTGCTAAGCAGAAATTGATCCACTTGGGCAATATCTAGGCTTCTCCACTGATGACAATCGTTTGCAGAACAGTGGGTGAAATAGGCATTTTCCAGATATTGCTGCTTCTAAGACACAGTGACAGCAAAGTCAGTGCAGCAGGTTTTTATTCATTTTTCTATATTCTTCCCTAAAATCTGGAGAAAGGCATGTTTGGTCCTTGGAAATTTTCATTTTATTAAGTAGGACACAGAAAATCTCCTGTCTCCCTGCCTCCCACAAATGCCTCCTCACACCCACCATTTCAGGGCAGGTTTTTCTTCTCAGCAGAACCCTGTAATTAAATGTGAACTTAAAAGTACCAGATAAACATCACTGAAAAAGACACTTTTATTGTGGTGAAGGTAACTGATCATGAGCTTTTACAGACATGAGGTTCAGTTTGGGTAATCACATATACCAGGAGAGTTTTGCGAGACAGGCCACTGATGCTGTTTTCTATTGTTTTCTCAAGGTGTCAGATCAACTGGGCGTATGACAGCACCTTCCACAGCAACAGGCAGCTGAAGATACTTGTGCTGACAGGAAACCTGCTCATGTTTCTATCTCACACAGCGTTTGCTGGCCCATGTTCCCTGGAGAAGCTTGTCTTAACACAGACAGGAATAACCGGTATGTCTTTCATTCCAATGACAAATCTGGACAGCTTAGATACCCTCATCTTGGGCAGCAACTACATCTCTTCATTGCAGCTTCCTCCCAGCTGTCCCACTCAAAACCTCAAATACCTTGACTTTCAAACGAACAACACAGAGCAATCAGAGCAGAAGCTGTGTATGTTCTGCAGAATATCAGCAATATAACTCTCATCTCTAAAGGCAATGATGTTACATACATTGAACCTGGAGCCTTCCAGTCCCGTTTGGACTTCAGGGGCTGTGCTGACATCTCTGGGGTTCTGGCAGGGATATAGAACTCCACAGCCGAGACCCTTTGGCCGGGAACATTTTATGGTGTGGAAAAGGAGCCCTACATAAGCCTAGATATTTTACAAGGCCTCTGTAATATCTCTGTCAAGGATCTCTATCAGCAGTTAGGCATTTCAGAAATCTAAGTGGTGACACATTTCAGTGCTTAACCAAGCTCCGAAAACTGGGTCTAACCCAAACCCACATCCATGCATTGCCCCCTGGCATCAGTGGCATGAACTTGCTAGCAGAGTTAGTTCTCAGCGTAGACTCCTTTAAGCACCTCTGCAACATTGCCACTGCATAATCAATTTCAGTTACAACCCTCTGGACTGCACCTGCTCCAATATTGGTTTAATCACCTAGTACAAGCCAAATCTGAATAAAATTGAGGACCCTGAAGGAACAAGGTGCTCTGGGGAACTAGCTGGGACTCAGCTGGCCACCGTCTCGCTCTCCTGTGGGATGAACACAGCAGGAATCATTGCAGTTGTCCAGGCTGTTTTCTCCTGTGGTACCACGTTCATTCAGGGTGCTTTGTATTTGCAGCAAAATTAGCAGTGAATATATGTTTATTATGGAGATACAGAAAAATATCTATAGCAATTGTATTATGTTGAAAGATATCTTTCTGCTTTTGTTTGTGACCTTTTTTTCTTAACTTTTGCAATACCCTTTGTATTATAACTTTTAGAAAAATAATGAAAAAATTAGAACTGAAAAAATAAACTATGACCTGAGCCTTGAATATAAATAACTTATCTTATAGAGAAATCCCTGTCCAACTCAAGGTTAGCCCTGGTGTACCAGCTAGCATAGCTAATGCACTTCTAAAGGGAAGATCCAAGGGCCAATCTTGTCTTTAAAAAAAGAAAACTCTACCACCATCACTCTCAAAAACAAACAAACGAACAAAAACCACCAAAAAAGAACCAATTAAAAACCAAATCCCACTCTCTGTCAAATATCCTTGAAAAGCAATGTTGTTTAAGAGCTGGCAGTAGTGTACCCCACTCTGCTAAAAAGTAAAAAATCTATCTATGAAAAACAGGCACAACTTCATAGTCATGTAAGACATATTCCTGCAGGACTGTCAGAAACAGCCTGTATCACTTCTATGATTTCTTTAAAATATTTCTTTAAAATATTCTTGATCCTTAGAAAATTCCTGACCATTGGACCTTGCCTGCGCATTTCCCACTCTGAGGCAGGCTATGCTCCTGTGCTATTTTCTAAACTCCACAATAAGCAGAGACTGGCAACCATTTCATCTTTAACCATAAAATTTGTAGATTTGGTCAAGATCTGTTGGCACTACGTTTGCTTGCACAGGGCAAAAATACCCAATACCAATAGCTATGAGACATTCCTGTGCCAGCCTGGAGTAGGTTGTTCCTTCCAGTTGCAGCCCAGGAGAGAAAACTAGAGGCTGCAGAGGGGGCAGTGCACTGGACATCATCATGCCACAGATGCATCTTGTGGCAACAGGTACTTCTCAGGGCTTCTGGTGGGCATCCCTGGAGTAAAATTAGTGTCTTTCAGCTTCAGTGGGATATGCAACAGCTAGGCAGGAATAAAGCCTTGTTATTATTTACATAAAACCAAATCACTTTCTCTACCATCACATCTGAATAAACCCAGCAGCAAGACAGTGTGCATCTGATCAAGGATCTAATGGAAGCTTGCCGTGCCTGCTCATCTGCCCTGTGTTACCATAAAGTGATTTATGTCACTAGTGCTTTAGTAACAGGCTAATACAGATGTATAGCCACAACCTTCTTGGGGGGGTATGACCCTTCTGCCACCATTGCAGAGCATGCACCACATGGAGTCTTGCCCTGTCCCAGCATGGCTCCCTGCTGTGTTATGCCAAGAGCTGCAGTTGCTCTCTCTCAGCACTTTCCATGCCGGACTCCACATTCAGCTTCAGCTCCAGCCCAAAGGCATTTCCTCAACATTTTTCTCTGTAACATGCTGACTAGCTAAAATTTCTAAGATTCCTGCTGGATTAGAAAGTTTTTGCTCATTTCTGATGATACTGCTGACAAGAATCCTAGCTTGGTCTTCTCTGGTAAGAACTACCTCTCACGAAAAGCCCCTTCTACTGTCTATTAGCAGATCAGATGCATACAATGTGTACTTTTGCAGCTTTCAGATGCCTTCACATCACTGCCACTGACTTACCCTGCAGCTTCTCCTCCTCCCCTTTGTAGCCACGTGTGCCTCCTTTTTCAGTTGCCTACAAACGCACCCAAATTTGGGGTACCAAAGCGTTGCCTCTCCTCACAGCTCTCTGTATTCCTGGTTTGTATTCCCCGTTCTTGTGGTCAGTGACCCTCCCTGCACTGAAGCCCTCTCCTGACCCTGTCAGCAGGCACTGCGCTCCAGGTGTCCAACACCAAAGCCACATGAGCTGCCTCCCCCAGGCAAGCCCTTCTGTTCACAAGGGCTGTTCAAGGGAAAGAACTTTCCTGAGCACATCATGCTGCCCAAGGGGAGCACACCCTAACTTGTCCTTGGGAGCAAGGCAGGGATATTCCTGAACTGAGCCCAGGATTCAAGGTGCATTTTCCCCTCCCTCTGCAAATCCAACTGCTTAATTGGGCAACCTCCGCTATCTAACAATCCAGCATGATTGCCAGTGTGTGTACCATCCAAGAAAGACCTACTTCTTCCATTGTTTTCCTCTCAAAGTTGTGGATTCAGGGAAGTGTTAGACAAACAGTGATGTTAATAAGGGAGCATAACACTCCATAGGCATAAAAAAAATTCCCGCAAGTATCAGGTAGCAACTGTGTGAGATTCACAAATATTAGTGACTGGAGAGGGAAACTGCATGTTGGGCTGAAAGGTATTCTGAAATGCCTTTTTGTCTGGAGAGAACACCAGAGGATTTAACCACCACCAGTTTCTGAAATGCCTCCTAATGCGGTGTACACTCATGTGTAGACTTCACTTGGTGAAAACTCAAAGATGGCTGAGAAGGTAAAATGTGTTCCCGTGCAGTATCTGTTTGCACACAGTATTAAGACTTCCCTGAAATCCGCCCCTTTCTCTCTGCACAACTTGTTTTAGATTACTGTATGTAATTTTGTATTACTGTATGTTGTTTTTTTTGTCTTTACGGTGTCTCTCCTCTATTTGCCTGCAAAAATGCCATTCACAAGACATTGTGCAAACAACAATGCTGAACAGCACATGCTATCTGTTTCAAGATGCACAAGTCCTAAATACAGGGATTGATTATTCTGAAGGAAAAATTATCTATGGATATAATACACTAAAATGTCCAGATTATATATTAAGACTTTTAAGTCCAAAGATTTAGTCTTCTGGGATTACTTAGTAAGGATATAAATGGAAAGAGACAATAGATTTTTTTTTTTCCTTAAAGAACTGCTTAGCTAATCAAGCTCTGATGTGATGCACTCTTTGGTTTCATGTCAGGCCTTTTATCTCTTATTCTTTCAAACACAGCTATGGAGCCAGCACAGAGAGAACAAGGGAATTGCCCGAGGTGAATGGTGCTTAACAAGACTTTACTTACCACCATGCTGGCTCCTGGGCTACAGATGTCTCTGAAGTCATGGTACAACTCAACACCGCAACATGGAATTTATCAGTATTTACACAGAGAAAGAACTTGAGCATGTATTCATTAGGAAGTCACATTTCAGAGACTGGTAAGCTCTTACCTTTATTTCAATAGGACAAACCAAAACTCAGAGCCAAGTTCTTCCTTCCCTAACTGTGCTTAAACAAGGTGGTCTCAGTAAGATGCAAGTCAATTTTTGAAAGAGGATTTTACTCTGAACAGGATGTTTGAATGGGCCAATTTCTACACATGTTGACTTAAAAAAACACACCCTGATGTCAATGGTACATCTTTTAAGAACTTTCTCTCATTCACTAGTCTTGTCTGTAGCTGGAAAAAGAGCGGTCAATATCCCTTCCCAAACACTCTATAGCATACCTCCCTCATCTGACAAAACAGATGGAAATTCTTCTCTCCCAGCAGAAGACTACATTCTTCTCCACCAAATTCCTTGGACATCCTCTTCCTCCTGTATATAATTCATACCTGCATTTTGTAGGGCTTGCCATGTACCAGAACACAACAACTGCATTGTTACTGTCTGCTTACTCTGCAGTCTTCTCCACTCTTCCTGATGCTCCCAACTTTTTGTAGCTTGAACCATAATCTTTAGCATCACTTCCTGCCCATGGCACGGCAGTTGGAACTAGATGATCTTGATGATCTTTAACATCCCTTCCAGCCCAAACCGTTCTGTGATTTCTACCCTCAGTTCATTCAAATGCATCCTTGGCAGATATCTGGGAGATTGAGCTGGTCAGTTCTCATCAACTACTACACTATAGTCAATGGAAAGAAAAACTGTTGCTAACCCAAGGCATAAAGTGGGACATGCATCCATACATGCTCCAGTATCTTCCTGTCCTGTGATCTTTCTTAGCTACTCCCTGAGTTTTGATCCAAATTCAAGCTAGACATCCCTGCTAAGCCTTACAGACTCTGTAAGACTACAATAAGCCTAAGGGGGCTTAGCAAACTGGGAGTTCAGTGCTGAGGAAGGGAGCTCACGTTTCCCTGGCAGACCATGAAAGCGTTCCCATCTCCGATAAGGCACCGTCTTTTCTTACCACAGTCGAAGTGAGGATGACAGGCCGTGCCACATACAATACTGATAACCTGCCTCTCCTGACTTCTTCATTAATGCAAACACCATATATCACCCCTTTCCTCTGGCCCTGAACATTATGGAGGCTCACAGAGCATGCAGGGTTCTGTGCCTCCCCAGGCAGATGTGATGGCTGCTGTGTACAGCCAGGGAGGCATGAAACTCAGTCAAACCCTCAACTCTTGTAATTTCCTTTCCCTCAGCTGCTGGATCCTGCTCTTCCTTCCTCAACCCATCACCCAACCATCAGTGCACCAGTTTTGCAAGACTATCTGCCAGTGGCTTGGAGCAAATTGGAAAAGTGGGGGTGATCTGCAGCTTCCCCTCACCTATTTGTTTCAAACAGGGAGTGAAGTTGCAAAAGTGATGCTGTAACACTGCTGCACTTTATTTGTACAGAGGAAAAACACAGAGAAAACAATGTAATAATAAAAAGTGAACACAAATTCCCACATGCTGGGCAGCTATGCAGAGTTACCAGCAGCAGAACAGTAAAGAGATGTGTATTTTAATTGATATTGCTTCTATAGTAATGACAATATATGTTTTGGAGAAAGGATTTATATGTCACATTACAGCCTACTGCCCATGTTAGCTACTAAAGATA